ACTACAGTGATGATCTGATACGTCAAACTTCTTTGAAACGAACAAATTTTAGCTCAGCGTTTTCCTCCTGCCTTTAGTTGTAACCGGGCTTTTTTCAAAGTCCAGAGTCAAGCTGCGTCTTTGATGTATGGATGGAGGCGTTTTTTTCAAAGGAATAACCTTTTCTGGGCCCGTCTTTGAAATGATAATTCCAAAGAAGCTACAGCTCTCTCGTTACGGTCAGACAGGGTCAATCAAAGTCAAATGGAGTAGCTGCTCACAGCTTCACCCTGGCAGTCGCTGCTGTGGCTGACTGCTGCTGTCAGCCCTGCGCACCAACATAATCTCCACCTCTGGAAAAAGAGAGAGGACACAAGGGAGTTGACAGGGACGAGGACACTTTTAAGGAGCAGAATGAGGATGGAGTGGCTGTGCTGGAGGAGCTAGATTTGTTTTTTTAAGTCTGCCTCAGTCACTTGCATTTCCCCACTATAGATTACAGTCAGACCACGCTGAGGTTTTTGCTGATTTTTATCTTTTTCTCCGGGCTGAAAGCAGCACGTAGCAGTGGTGAGGGGGCCGCAGGTGTGTGTAATTACATCAGTAATAAGGCCTGGATATGGTCCACCTGCCTCAAAGTGAACGCTCTCTCTCATGCAGCACCGCTGACAACAAAAGAGACTGAGGCTGATTATGGCTGTGATGATGCCACTAGAAGGATGTGCTTCACGGCGATATATTCCAGATCAGGAATAATTTACCAGAATCAGTCAATTGTTCGGGAACAGTGACGTGCACTATCAATGTATGATCACACACGGCGCTCATATGTCATATACTGCTGTGCTATGATGAAATACAGACACAGGATAACCACACTGTGTGTGTTGTTTGTGCTACATCTGAGATGATGACAGACATTACGTCCACATCCAGTCACTGCTGTTCCTCGGTGATCTGCTAAGAAAAGCTTTTATCCAGCATTTCTTCTCACACTGACATGGAGGATGAATGCAATAATGAATCCCTCCATCCACTGTTGTTATTGTTCCTACGCCGCGTCCATCTGGATGCAGCCCGCCAGGATTCTGCATTAACTGGTGGCTGGATAACGAGACAACACAGGGCACGCACACACGCACACACATCTCCCATGGGTTCGGGCTCCAGCTGGAGCAGACATGTTAGGGCAACCTGTTCCTATTATTGTTTGTGACAGAATCAAGAAGGAAATGCGAGTGTAAAAAAGTGGGCATGTCGTGCTTGCACGTCAGATTCTGTTGGCAGTGTTCTCTTTGTAATTATGGGCATGGGTGGCCAGCCGTGACAGCTCATCTGTTAGTCAGCCAGTAGGAGTCTGCGGCACCTGGTGAGCGTTGAACTAGGATGACAAGCAAAAGATACACAAAAATTAAAATTCACACGCAGGATTCCATGTAGGTAAATGACACTTTTGTGTTGTTTCCTGCACCTCATTACCACCGTGGCAGCTACTACACACTGACACAGCTAGCTACGCCCACATCACATCGCTCGATCTCTAGCACGATGAAGGCGTGTGTTGAACCCCTGACATTATCAATTTAATTAGTCCCTTTATATGTTCTGAAATTAATTAAGACTGAGGAGCATTTGATTTTAATTGATTGGGCTCTGAGCATAGAGTTCTATTAAGGATTTAAATAAAATTATACAATTAATTCAATATTATATTTTATTTAAGGTTGTCCCAATGTCATTTTTTAATAAATATTTTTCTTTTGGCCTCACATTAGAACATGTATCCGTAACACAAAGGAGTAAAATAAAGAATCCATCCAGTAATAATTTTCCTATCTTATTAGCGTATTAGCTTTGAAACCAATGTTCAATTTTTGCTATTGTAGTCACTGACTGAAAAACCAGTGGCGTTCTCCTCATAAATATTTTTGTTCTTTTAAGTCATCTTATTTAAAGGCTCACTGTCAACACCTGAAAAATAAAATGTCTAAATGTCATTTTAACATATATTTATTCAGGCTTTTTTCCTTTTTTGATAAACTTGAATAACCTGTGCGTCTGCAGATCTCCCGTCTCTTCACAAAAGTTGGGAAGTTTCCAAAAACAGATCAAGCAGTGACAGGTCAGGTCTGGTTCTTGTTCTTACTGTTTACTGTTCAAAACACTTCTGCCAGGACAACAACCCCTTCCTATATGCAACAAAGGAACCCAATCATAACGTCCTCACCCTTTGGCAATGGGCCTCCAATCAGGGATGAGTAATGACTAAGGAGGCTACCATGCAGTGATCCCAGCTTTCTAATTAGTCTTCCATTAACTTGTTCAACCTTGGCGGCTGCAGGGTGCACATTTAACACACACACACACCCACCCACACACACACACACGTCAGTCTCAATTTACTGAATGCCCTTTTTTAAAAATTAATAAATAAAAAATACTTTGAAAAGTCTTATTCTACAGTCGACACACGGCCAAATTACTTTTAAATCAGTCACAAACTGTGTGAAGTGTTTTTATAGTGTAATGGAATTTTTTGATTTTATTTGTAGTGTGAAAAAAAACAGTGCAAAAATAGTAATTTTGCATGTCATCACGTAAGTACTTGCTTTGTCATAAAGTATATATAATTAAACATGGTGAAGCCTGTGACGTGGGTTCAAACAGTGTTGGGAATTACTCTCCATTTATTCATGAATTCTTCCACAACATCAGTACTGTACTGTAGGTGTGTGTTCGAGAGACGGCGTCTGAAGTTGACATTGAAAGAACAAACTGTTTCAAGTACACACTGGCAGAGTTTACTTCAGAGAAGCGTCTCAGATCATATACTCTGTTGTTTGTGGTATATTTTATGGGTTTAAAGTCTGGTCCACAGTGTTTGTTTGGATACAAACAGAATGTCAATGTTCCACCCTGGTGTTTCTGGTTTCATAAGACATTCTCACTCTGGCTGATACCTGCCAGAGATCATACACTGTGTTTCTTATCTGTAGACAAAAGGATTTTCCCCATGCCACCTGCAGAATGTAGAGATGCTGTAACAGTGACAAAGAGACTGGCAGGGAGGGAACCCAGGAGAAGAGTCTGCATGACATGGATACTAAGATGTTCGGTTTGGTTTTTGTCAGAGCAGAAGTAGTAACTTAACTCTCAGTAATATTTCTCATTTTGTTGTCGAGCCAGGAATGGCAGGCGGAGGAGTGGAATCTGTGTGTGTGTACATGCACATGCACAAAGCAGGAATTCATGATTAATCATGTTTCACAATGGGCTGTCAGGTTCAAAATGGAGATCCATAAAAGAGTAATGGAAATTCCTGGGGAGCTGCTGTCCTTTGGCCTCCCAGCACCCAGTGGCACACCCTGCCTTGGCATATTATCAGTTTTTGCAGAGTCTGTCAGCAAGCTTCTGACTTTATAGAAGACTTCCTTTCATTTGCTGTCAAGGTTGAAAGAGTTGAGAGAATAAGGGTAAATTTTATGAACAATCCGCCCCAAGACATCCAGCAAAATAAAATGTTACTGTCCCGGTTGCAGCTCCTAACATTTACTCCAAAGCTTGGATCATAAAGTATTAATAGATATACAGTAGGTGGTTGTATGAGCCACAGAAGGGTGTCTTTCTGAATCAGATCTTTGTTTCCAGGAGGGTCAAGAATGAGGCTAATCCTATTGAGCTCCTTTTATTCTCCTATATCATTACTCTCCTGCATGAAGAAAAGTGGGGTGGGCTTGGGGGAGGAGGTGGGTGGAGGGGACAGATAACGGAGCCACCATTAAGGCTGCAGTGTTAAACTGCCATTATTCAGTCAATGCAGTGCTGGGTAATGCATCTATGTGGCTGATCTCTGCACATTTACAGTAAGACTCCACTTAAGAGAAGTGAAAGTATTAGAAGCAACTTTTTCTGCAACCTTTCAGGAGCTCAGTGTGTCACTGTTACTCTGTATTATTAAGCTCTATGTTATAGCACAGTGGATAGCATTTAGTTAATGGACCACAGTGAATGGTCATGTCCTACTCTAACCCCATATAAGTACCGTGGCTGCTGCATATTTTTATTTCCATGATGCAAATCCACTCCTATTCTACCACATCCAGAGTGTTGTGTTTTATGATGATGGCATTAAGGTGAAGTGAAGTTGGCGTGAAGTTGGCAACAAGGTCAGTGTTTTCCTGCTCAGTCATGGACTTACTGTGGTCATGGAGAGATGCACATGGTCAGTAGCGATACTTTGGCTGACTTTTGTCAAAATTATTTTTCCAACAGTCTAGAAATTTGGTATTTTTTTACTTTCTCTCTGTAATATGTTGAAAACTTCTGTTCAATAGTCAAGTACCATTATCCCAGAGCAGGATGGGCTGATTGAACCTGGCTTCACACAATAGTCATTTACTAACTGATTAGGCAGAAAAATAGTATTATTGTAAGATAATTAAGTTTTATTCAAAATGCTGCCCATGCTTTTTGTGACATTGGATTTAATAATATAACAATAATTATTAGAAATAATGTTGAAAACAGGGCTGGTAAAATGCACTGATTACATGACAGGCTAAAACTGCGCAATTGTTATTGATATTGTGGTTGAATAGAATAGAGTAATTGTCATTAGCATTAATTAGCATTCATCTAATGAACAGAGCAGTTGATTTTTTTCACATGGTGTGACAAATACAGTACCTGATTCAAAAAACACAAAATCTTTAGCAGTATCACTTATTTAGCCTTGGTAGTACTAATTTTTCTTTTTTCCATTTTCTCTGAACTTCTTGCTCATCTTTACATTTGCACTTTCATGTAATTGCTCTTTATATGATACCGAGGTGTTTTGCTCTGCTCCCACCATAGCATCCATTTAATCATGTTTATTCTGATGTAACGTATTGTAAGAGACTGACCTGCTGATGCAGAATTCTTCATGGGGTCAGCATGTGTCTCGTTAGTGTTTCCTGTTGTCCAACTTGTTTGCTACAAGTTACTGCATTGATTGTGCCTTTTGTCTTTTGTCTCCACAGATCACACTGGTTATATTCTGCGTCTTCTTGGAGACTGACTTTAACATCTACAAAAAGAAGATGGCTGCCATATTTCAAGGTATTTGTTTTTGGGGTTTTTTTTTACCAAATTCGTCTTGTGTAGTATGTACTAAATAGGTTGACTGTCTCTGCTGTTGCTGGGATGGGTCTGTAGTGAGAATGGTGATGCCTAAATCTTCAAATAAATAAAATTAAATCTTTAATGTATTTTAAGGCACGGGAAGAATGACAGTAAATGAAACAATTCCACCGTCCGTCCACTTCATCATTGCTCTAATACACAGTCAATTGTTGTTGTTTACACAAAATGTTAAAAAAGCAATAAACAGAAAAATGTTGTTCTCATGTTTGGAGAATGTTGAGATTTATATATTTTTTTATTCTAACAGCACTAGAGTTAGAAAGACTAAGGGATTGATGACTGATTAACATGACGTTTCTCCAAAGCCTTTGTTCTCTGACCTCTGTAATAAATTGTTAAATGTCAGAAGTAAGGTGTCCATCTGTATAGGGAAAGTGTAGACAGCAGTGACACTGTGTGAGTGTGTGGTTGTGCGTGCGTGTGTGCATTAAAGATATGCAGCAGGAGATATCAACAGTATGAAGACCTGTCAGGCTGTAGTGACACCTTCAAGTGTGAAGAAAATTCAGTGCAGCCATAGAAACCATTTGGGAGATTAACAGAGACAATTTATGGTGACATTTGCTAAAACAAGTGTCAGGCTCTCTATGGATGGTTCTAATAGGATTGGAATAAAGTCCTTGTCAGTGAACCAGTAAGCTGATACTTTACATAATCGCAGATATATTGATGAGACATTAATGTCAGATTTGATTGACTATAATAATGACCTTCAGCATCACTTCTGCAAATACTAAAGAAAAAGAAATTCATGGATGCATAGCAACGACGCATCCATTTGGTTTCTGATACTTGGCCCTGCATGCAAAATAAACAGGCACCCATTATCTTCAGCTCCCATTCTCTTTTCTGCCTTTCTCTCTCACACACAACTCCCTCCCCTCTTTCATGACATCATCTTTTTTCGGGGGCCAGTAGCCGTCGCCAGCCCTGATGGGGCTCCATTGAGGATTGACTTGAATAGCCATAGCTCAAAAGAGGCTGGCTGGCTTCAGCATCCTAGCATTACCTCCATTTACCTCATTTTTCCCTCCCCGCCTCCCCAACGGAATACTGGCTCTCCGGCTTTCATCTGGCTGCTCCCAGATGGAGAGTGTTTTGTTTCCCCTGCGCTCCTGTCATCTGTCCTGCTCCCTGCCCAAGCTCTTCCCTGAAAGATTACATTCTGGGGAGAGACCTTAATTATATTGCCTGCCCTCATGCACCCAGCACCCGTCTCATCATATTAGTGCTCCGAGATGAGAATCTAGAACTGTTGTTCTTCAGTTATCACTCTTGCCATTTACAAGTGCTGTCAGTGGATAAATGCCCCTACATACTCTCCAGGACTTGGATGTGAGAGGAGAGAAGGAATGAGATAGAGCGTCTGTGTGCTGGGTTCAAGTCTGTTTATGGGTTTGTTTACGGAATTCTTAGATGTGTCTTTAAATGTATGATATCTTTGTTCTGTGAAACAGTCACTAAAGCTTAATACAAGATTCCAGATTCCAAGATTTTGATTTCTTTGACATTTTCTGACCTCTCTTTTTCACATTTTATTTCTTCTTTGGCCATTCAAAAACAGTTGTTTGGATTAAAAAAATGACAAAAATAATTTATTGCTGCAGCTTTACATTAGTTTGCCCCTAACAGGTTATATCTTAGGTGTATGTTGCTGTGCCATGAATTAAGTGAGACACAAACAGTGAGTGTGGAACTGACGATCAGATCAGGCTCATTGTCTTTTACTCCTGTCAGTTTAACCAGTCTCTCATTGAAAATTCAAACCCTTATTGGATTGTACTGTTATTTTAGTATTCCTGTGAGAATGCCCTGCCAGACTGCACCACGTAGAAGACATTAACAGAACAGCAGAGATGTACTTTAAAAAGAGTGATACTGTGTCTTGATTGGTTTGATTACACCATGTACAAAAAACAAAGAAACGTTCCCAGTGTTGAATAGAGAGCCATGGTAGTGAATCAGTGGCTGTGCATTATCTCCACAGGTGTGCTCCAACACTTTGAGAACATATCATCATCTGCACTGCTAGAGACAGTATGTGCCACATTACAAAAAATAAAACATACAATATGTGGCATCTGACCAACATTTTCCAGAGCCTGGCAGAACCTGCATTTACACTAAAAAGCATCACAGAGAGGCTTCGGTCCATTTTGTCTTCTGTCCTTGTCATTTTCAGTAAACTCGTGTAGAGATCGCTTTTTTTTCCAAACAAAAAAGTTTTGTAAAACAGAAGTAGTAGTAGTTGTAGTTTAAATGAGGCTCAATTTCTGAACCAACCCAGATGTGCCTACACTTCACTACACTTGGTCTTTGGTTTTCTAGTGAGGGCTGTAGTAACTATCTACAGGAGTGTGTTTGTACAGTACGTGACTACCTGTGATCAAGTAACACTCAGGATTTTCCTCTTTACACCTGTTTCACCAGTGTCTTCATCTGAGAACAGGCACATCAGATTCTTTATTGAAGTCTTGCCTTTTCCATTTTTCATCGTGGAACTGCTTTCTTCACATTCAAGCAATCTGTCAAGTCACAATGACTGTAAACAGAATATTTGCATACAGGAAATTGCTTTATCACAATGTGCATTCCTACAAAGAATGGCTACGTCGCCGCAGATGGAGGACACTGAAAAAAAATGGCCTTTGCCAAGAAGCATACTCACACACACCTACGTACAGGCACGTCACACAGGAGCACATATACATTAGGATGGAAATTCACAACCGGGGAGTGTTTCACTGTGAAATGCATGACACAGGATTTAATATGTGGCATCTGACCAACATTTTCCCAGCGTTCCAATAAAGCCCTAATAGCAGCAGGATGCGGTGATTAATGATGAATTCCTCCCAAAAATACAAGAGTATCTTCATGTAATGTCAGCTCTAGGAGCACTTCACTGGTTCCCCCATCATGCATTTTTAAAGTGGGCCCCTCGAACACACACATGCAAATAGAGCAGCTGAAACACATATCAGCAGCACTGACAGAAGTTGCCTCTCTAGTACCATTGACAATTCATAACCCACCTCACTAAATGTGCTCATAACCTAGAGTTTCACATCTTCATCAATATTAATCACTCTCCAAAGCCATAAACCGCGTACATCTCCGAGGTGCCACCACAGCCCTGCTGTTTGGCTAAAAGAACCACCAGCCTTTGCAGGGTTTTTGGAAATACGCAGAAACTACGCAGCTCCAACTATTAAGTCTCAGATTAAAATATGTCTCTTTTTTTTAAAAGGGTGTAACGTGAACAAGGCTATTAATTGATTTAAATATATAGCTTAATCAATGCAATTAATCATGGAGCATGATTCAATTAAATATTCACATTGGTGCGTAGATCATGATTGACCACATGCTCGCCCTGGCTCACATTATTTGGAGGCAGAGGAGCAGTCAAGCAGCTGCAGTTGAGAGAGTGAAAGCATGTTGAAATTGATTCTGGGTACACTCTTGCACTAATATGATCCGGGTGGCTGCCCACAAGCCGGGCTCCGTCTCGTCTCCTCCTCAATCAGCCACAGTGCCGACAGCATTAACACAGACCACAGATCCACAATGGCGGCTGCGTTCTCCCCAACTGTTTCACTGTCTTTTCAATTGACATTTATTTACATGACTTTTAATACACTCCACGCTCCCAGCTCCACCACCCAAACACTCCTTCCACCAAGTCTATACTAGAAGCAGCCCTTCAACACCCCCCCCCCCCCCCCCCCCCCCCCCCCCCCCCCCCCCACGCC